TTAATTAATTTAATATATTTTTATATTTTTTAATTTATTTCATTGTTTTAGTATTATATATATTTTTATATTTTTTTAATAATTATTATTATTTTGGTTTAATTTATTTTATTTATGTTTATTTATAGTTTTTTTTTATAATTTTATATTATGTTTTATGATTTTTTTATATTATTATATTTTTTTTTTATTATTATTATTAATTAGCATTGTCCTTTTTTAATATATTAATAGTATATTATTAAATTTTAATCGAAAATATTTAAACTTATTTTAGTAACTACATTACTTATTGCTATCTAATTTTTTCATACTATTTTTTGTTTAAATGCATGAAAACTTAACTTAAACAAAAAATTAATTTTTTATTTATTTTAAAATAATATTATTACAATTTTTTTTTTTTTTTAATTTATTTTATTTATTATAATACAAATATTTGAATTTTATTAAATTAAAAATATATTTAAAACAAAAAATTAAACAAAGAATATTTATAAATAAAATTATTATATTATTTGTAAATTTATTTCAAAAAAAATATATATTCATTAATTTAACATTTCTAATTTATATTTTTTTTAAATAAAATATATAAAAAAAAATAACAAAAAACTAATATAAAATGAGTATACATAGTTAAGGAAATTTTTTTGCTCCTCTTTAAAAAGATTTTATAGTAAGACCTAGTTAGTACAATTAATAATTACAAACTAATAATTTTAATAATGATTAAAGATTTTCAAATATGTACCATAATCAATATTAGAGTAATCATTAAAATATAATTAATAATCTAAGCTAAAATAATCCTTATGAAATATAGAATTAAATGAAATTAAAAAATAATGATATTTTAATATAATTTTATCAGAAATATATAAAAAATTCCCAATAAAATAAATATTATCCAGGTATTTAAAAGAAAAAATTTGCCGATGGTTCAACTTATGAAGGATAAATTTAAAACAATTAAATTAATGGTAAAAAATAACAAATATATATCATATTTTTATAAATTATCAAAATAAATTAATAAATAATTAAATACAAAATTTAATTCTAAAAAGGAAAAGGTGTATATTCAGCTAGTAATGGAGATATATATTTAGGTATTTAAATTTTATATTCATGTTTATTAAAAATATAACTATTTTTATTAAAAATAAAATAAAAAATATACAGGCGATTGGGTAAATGTAAAATATCATGGTCAAGGAATTTATATATATTAAAATCAGGAAAGATACGAAGTATATTTTATTTTATATAAGTGTAAAAAAAAAATTATTTCATAAAAAAGGGTTAGCTTTAAAATGGTCTTAGAAATGGTGAAGGAACCTATTTTTATTAAAACGGAAATATATTTGATGGAGAATGGTCTTAAAATAAAAAGAATGGTGTAGGAACAATGATATATTATTAATCTTGTATAAATCAAATATATGTATATTTATTAAGCGAATAAATTAATTAAAAATAAAATAAAATAACAAAAAAGAGGAAAAATATGAAGGTTAATATTAAAATGGAATAAAGTAAGGACAAGGATAATTCTAATATGCAAATGGTAAATAATAAAAATTAAATTTAATACTCAAATAAATAAAAGGAGATAAATATGAAGGAACTTGGATAGATGGAAAAAGACATGGAAAGGGGGTCATGTTTTATTAAAATGGAGATATATATTAAGGTTAGTTTGATAATGATTAATAAATAGGAAGATGTATGTATTAATATGCAAATGGGGATAAATTTGATGGGTTTATGTAATTTTATCCAAGACAAAAAAACAATATTAATTTTATAAATAAAAATAGGTAAAACTCTAAAAAAGAAGGATAAGGAGTAATAGAATATAGAAATGGAGATATATATGATGGATTTTTTAAAAATGATGTAAAAGAGGATTAAGGAGTAATGAATTATGTAAATGGAGATAAATATGAAGGATAATGGTATTTATATTATTTTTATAATATATATATATATATATATATATATATATATATATATATATATATATATATATATTTGATAAAATATTAACAAAAGGTAAAGTGATAAAAGGAATGGATAAGGAATTTTAATCACAGAATTATTTGAATACTAAGGATAATTTAAAAATGATCTAAGAGGTGGATTTGGAAAATGTAAATATGCAAATGGAGATTATTATGAAGGATAATGGCATGATGATTTTTAATGTAATAATAAAAATATATAAATATATATTTATATATTTATATATTATAACTTATATAAAATATAAAAATATAAATTATTAAATATTTATTAATTGCATTTATATTTATATATATTTATTTATATTTTTTAAGATGGTAATGGAAAATAAATATTCGCCGATGGTTTTACATATGGTTTTTAATTTTTAATTTTAAAAATATAATATTTTTTTAACAAAATATAATACATAATTAAGATGGATAATGGGTAAATGGAATGAGACATGGAAAAGGATTGTTTATTTGGGAAAAGTAAAATAAAATTATGATTTCATTTTTATTTTAAAAATATGTTATTTACTTATATATATAGTTATGGAGATTCATATTATGGTGATTGGTATTAAGATAAGATGCATGGATAAGGTATATTTAAATATGTTGACGATAGAGGAGTATTACAAAAAGAAACTGTTATATATGAAAATAATGTATAAGTTTAATGAAAAATCTTATTAAAAATTATATACATATTTAAAATAAATATTTTAAATTAATTTGAATTTTATTGTATAATTAATTTTTATCACTTAAATATATTATATATTTATATAATAATTTTTTTTTAATTATTATACTTTTTAATTTGATATATGTTATTTTTTTATATTTTCATCTTATTTAATTTCTGAAATTTTTAATTATTTAAGTACTTTTTAACCTTCGATTATTTGTTAATCTTTACATTTAATCTAAAGATAAAAATAATATCTTTTTTCTTTTAAAATATTAAATTTTTATAGCATTTAAAAATTAAAAATCTCTATAATTTAAGATTATTATATTATAATATATATTAAACAAATTAAATATATAAGTATTATGATCTTACATATATATAATCCAAAGTTTTTTTTGACTTTTAAATTCAATTATTGTTTTTTGTTATTATTTTCAAATTCAATTATTCTTTTTTGTTATTTATATTCAAATTCATTTTATTTGAAAACTTTCTATATAGTTATTTAATACTTTAATTTATAAATAAAATTAGTTAAATACCGCTTAAATTATCTTTCTTTGTATAATATTCATAATTTTTATATAAAAGATTTGAATTTATTGATTATAACAGAATAATAAAAATATGTAAGATGCAAGCAATCATTTATAAATTAAGTAAATTAAATAGAAATAAGAAAGTTTCTTTTTAAATACAGAAATGTTTATTTATATTAAATTATCGAATTTATTTAAAATAAAAAAATTAAATTTTAAATGAGAAATTTATAAAACTAATTTATCATTTGTTAATAAAATAATTAAATAATAAATATTTATTGCAATAAAGAAAATCATTTATACTTTCCCTAATAGCCTTTTTCACAAAAAAATTACATATAAAGTAGTAATTCTTCAAAATCTTGTTAATTTTTTTTTTTATTTGATTTTTGGAAATATTTCCTTAGTTGTATTTTTTAGATTTTGAATTGAATTTCTTAAATACTCTTTTATATTTACTGTATATAATTATTATATTTTGTAATTATTTTAAATTTATTGCTTTTAGAATGAAAATATAAATTATTATATTATTTATGATAATTAGATTAACAATACTAATATTTTTATTTAAATAAAAATATTTTAATTAATTTTTATTTTTTTTTAAATAAAATAAAAATACTTTATATATACATTTTTTATATATAAAAAAATTAAAATATAAACTATTTTTATTTAAATTAGATATTTTACATATATAAATCTTCTCATAATTTTAAGGATATTATTATTTTAAAATCTAAACCAAATTTCCCTTTTTATTGTAGTATATAAATTTTTTCTTTAATAACCTAATATTCTCCTCTTAATTATTAATCTAAATTCACTCATACATAGGATAGCTAACAATCCTCTTCCAAATATCATAGTAATAATATAAAAGAAAATATATCCAAAAAGATTTACTTAAAAAAAATAAAATAAAAATATAAAAAATTTTTAAAAAATATATGTAATATATCCATATCCAACAATAACGTTATTAAGAATAATATAAAAACAATAATTAAATTATTAATAAATCCGAATCTAAGTTTTCGATAATTCTTAAATATAACTAAGGTAGAATATTTTTGCTAAAGCAATATACATAAACACAAAAAAAAATTGATAATAAACATTATAAAATTAAATAATTATAATAAATATATATATGATTTTTTTTAAAATAATAACTATCTTATATTTTATTCCAAATTTAATAAACATTATTCATTTTTATTAAAAAAATCAACTTTTTTATCTAAAAAATTAAAAATCGATTGAAACAAATAAAATTAAAAATATTGAAAGAAATAATAATCTTATTTTATATATTTTTTTAATATCTATTATTTTTATTTATTATATTAAGAATTAATTTAGTTTACAATAATATTATAAACTAATTCTTATTAAAGTCTATATTTCATAAAAATTAAAATCAAATATGATTTATATTAGTAAAAATACATTATAATAATTTAATGTATAATATCCTATAAGAACTTTAAATTTCTCCAAGGTTATATTATAGAGATATTATGATATACTAATTTAATGATCAAATATGAATTCCTTTTTTTATCAAATAACGATATGTTTTGCATAAATTCTCTATAAACCAAATAATTATATGAAATTGAAATATTATATTTTTGAAAAATATTAAGAATTTTATAATATTTTTGTTATTTTTTTAAAGAAATAATTTACATTAAAATAAACAATTCATTATTTTATATATAAAAATAACATAAATATATATATTATAATAATAATAAGAGATACTTTATAATCTTATCCTTTATTTCTAATATTTTATATTTTAAAAGTTTTATTTAAAAGATATACTTATTATAAATATTTTGAATAATAACATTCAAATAATTAAAAAATTTAAGTATAAACTATAAATTTACATGTTAAACATATATATACATATAAAAAAATCATATAATTTTACATTTATAAATTTTTATTTTTCTAACAGGTATTCCATCGTTCTCTCCTGCAGTATAAGACAAATACTTTAGAAAATCTAATCCTTAATAAACACTCCCAAAAACATGCCACAAGGAAGATCTTCCATCGAAACTAGCTCTATTAAAAAAAATTGTATATTCACTACCTACATGTCCGTTTTCTTCTTACCTTTCTTATGCAAAAGCACCTAATTCAGTATGAAAATCATTAATTTCACTATAATATGTGCCTCCATATATTGTATTATTTCCTTTATTTTAAGGTTCATAATAATCCCCAAATTACATATATTCATCTTTATAAATTTTATAAATTAATTTGTTTGTGAAAGTAAACTTTTCTTTATCCATCTTTTCTGATGTTCCTAAGCATTAATAAATAAAATTTTAAACTGCTTTTGGAGATTCGTGGCCATATAAACCTATTAATAAATCAGTTCTAAACTAATCATCAATTTATATTGTTAAATTTACTCTATGAGTATAGTTTGATGATATAAATGCTAAAATAAATTATATATATTATTAAAAAATTAAAAAAATAAAATAAAATGCATTTTTTATTTTATTTTTTGTTAATTTATTATTATTACAATTTTGTAAATAATTTCTATATAATTAATTATATTTGATGTTTTTTAAATTAAATCTTTTTAATTTTCAATAAATATTAAGTTCAATAAAAACTATATTATATTTTTTTTATTGAGTTTATTATTCATAATAATTAAATATTTTTTTTATTTTTTTATATAATAAATAATTAATGAATATATTTTCTATTTGATAATCTTTTATTTAAATTTAATAATTCAATCAACTTTCTCATATTTCGATAATCTAAAAAATAAAATTTAATAAATTATATAAGATAATAAAAATTACTTATCTTTAAATTCTTTTAATTATTCATTTTTTTATTAAATCATTTTCTTTAAATTATTATATTAAGCACTTTCATTTAATTTTTTCTAGAAATCTTCATTCAAAGAATTATATTATAATTTTAACTTTTCTAGTTATTACTTTTTTAATTTAAATTATATTTTTTAATGAAAAAAAAAAAAAAAAATACATTTAATTCATACATTTATTAATTTTAATCTGAAGAATTATCAGAATTTCCTTTTTAATTATTAACTAACTTTTTTTTTTTAAAAAAAAATGCTTATTAAAAAAATAAATAAAATAAAATTCAACATCATTCTTTAAATTAGAATTAATTGATTTTAAATTTGCTATTTCTTATTCATATTCTTCAATTTTCTTTTAATTTAAATCTTGATTAACTATTAGACTTGGTAATTTATTTCCTTAACCTTTCGCATTATTTTTAACTAAATTATTTAATGCATTGACATTACTATCATGTATTGAACTTTATTAATAGATGAAATTGTCAGCATTTTCAACTTTTTTCATATCTTCAAGCATTTTCCTTTTATTAATTTAGAGTTTTATATATTATTATTAAACAAAAAAATATATATATTAACATATCTTCTAAAAGATTTAAATTTAAACTAAAATCAATTTTTGTTTATTAAAAAATATATTATATATAAACTGCTCCCATTCTATTCATTTTTTATATATCGTTTGAAAGTGTTTTTTTTATTTAAGATGTCCATTATTCTAGCAATTTTTCTACCTTTGTAATAGTTTTCTTTTATATGTGTAAAAATATTTTTTATTACATCTTCTTTGTTATAAATTTATTCTTAAACATTATCATATAAAAAATCTTTATAATCAATATCTAATTCTTTGAAAATTTCTTCTTTTTTAATGTTAAAAAAGCTTAAATATTTATTTAATTCTTTTGTTTAGTTTTAATTTAATTTTTCTTCGGCCATTTTTATTTTATTTTATTTAATTGATTAAATTTATATTTATTATATATTTTTACTATTTATTATATATATCTTGTTTAATTAATTTTTTTTATTTTATTTTATGATTCTATGATTCGATTTTAATAAATTAAAATTATTTATTAAAAAAAGTATTTTTTTTTTAAAATAATATTTTTAGAAAAATGATTATTATTTAAAGGGTATTTAATTTTTACATAAAAAAGTCTATATATATTTTATTCATTATAAATGTTTAGAACAACTATTATGCTTTGGTTTATATGTATTATACATAAAAGAAGGTTTGTTTTACTATTAAGAATTCATTAAACCATTATACTAATTTTTAATACAAAATTTGGTATTATATTCATAGTTTGAGTTATCATTTTATTT